AACAAAACTCAACATTCAACTTACTGGATGTTTCACTTTAGAGATGTGTGCACTCCAGTAAGTGCAGTAGGTCTACGTATAACTAGCAAGTAACTGTGGTAAATAAAATTGACAACATTGGGATCATTTTCAAGTTCAGCTGTGCTTTTCTTCCTACAAGAGAGCTCATGTCCAGGCATCATCTCTGGGCTTGCCTCTGTTCCACCTGCTTCTGTAACTCAATGCAATCTCTTACTTTTTTTTCTTTTATATGTGTCTCTGAAGAATTGGAACATTTCCTCAAACCTTATAAATCCTATATTTATTTCTTTATTTATTGGATAAATGAGCACCTACTGTAGTGCTTTGACTTTAGTTTACATGTCAGATGATATCAGTTTGTTGGCCTGCAATAAACTGCAGCTACCATGAAAATGTCAGTTTTCATAGTTAGTTTTATTTAGCCAAATGCCTGACCAGTAGAGTAAGTGACGCAACTGCTTCCCCATTGTTCAGTCAGGAAGAGCAATGTTACTACTCTGCTATCCCACCTTTGTCCTTTTAAAAATAAACGTATTGATGGACCCCCTTTGAGTTCACTCATTGGGTGTCAATCACAGTTTGTCAGTCCACATGGGAGTGGGACTGTTTACAAAAGTAAGAAACGTGCCATTTTGCTTAACTGCCAACTTTAAATTAGCTATAGTAGAATTGTACTATCAATTCACAATTCGTAAGTCAGCCTTGGTTAACATTGCCAGCCCACCTACCTAATGTGAGCTCACTGATCACACAGGATTGGGTTATGTCACACAGTAAAAGCTATTCAGTACGGTTAACACCATCGTGCAAAAAGTGGACGCTGACAGGCCACAGACAGAGTCATGTGACTCTTCTTCTGCACAAAATCAGTCATAAACGATCATGTGCAGCTGCTTCAGTCAACATGTGGTTTTAATGGAGAACAATGAGGAATATTAAAATTTAGGACAATAAAAAGCACTGCTACTGCAAATGGTGCAAGACGGGAATGCTGATAGAAAACTGTTAAACGTACGTAAAATATTTATTTTACTGATCAATGTAGCCGCTTATTTCCAACTGACAGCTGCACATTAAAGCTGTTAAACTTTAAACTTCATATATTTAAACATGATATTGTATTGAAGTGCGTTTGGGTCTGACGCTGTCCCATAATGGAGGATATCATTTTAATTTCTGGCCAAATCAAAGTGAATTTATTTATTTCAAATAACTTTATCCCCTACCTAGGGGCAATTCAAAAGCTCACTTAGTGTTTGGTTTTGGTGATTGATGATTTAGAAAATGCTCTTTCCAGCCAATTTAAACCATAAACTCTGAACATAATCTGCTCCAGACCAGATTAGCTCCACAGCATCAGTTACCATGGAGATCTAAGCAGGTTAAAAGAGAGCCACCTTTGTGACACCGACAACTGTGACTTTAGGCTCAACATACCTCGATAACCCACTAATCTGACTTTGTAATACAGCCCTCAGGAACCAACGTTGATCTCTTATTTACACTCTATGTCTGACCACAGCACAACATCCCTCCCTCTCCTCTTGCAGCATGTACAGACAGCGAGTAGTGAAACTGAGCTTTTTTGTTTGTGTGTAAGATTGCCACCGATAATGTATCTTTACAGATTTGGTCAATCATTTCAAAACATAACCAAGGACACATGTAGATAAACATCACATATGTGTTTGTTTGTTTGTTTGTTTGTTTTAATAATGAATGAGTTATCAAATGGAGTGACACCCACATACTTCTCATCATTTCACTTCCCTATGTCTTCTCTACTTTAATCAGGTTCTGACTCCATCTTCCATGACATTGACAGTGACACCTCTCTGACAAGTCTAAGTGACTGCTTTATGGCCGCCACAGATGTAGGGTCCTTGCAGGCACGGGTGGGGAACCCTATCGACCGCCTTTACTCCATGCAAAGCTCCTACTTTGCCTCCTGAGACCCTGCCATCACTGTCGGCCCCACCTCACCCAGCATACCTCCTCCCAGGCCATGGACAGTGAGGACACAGTAGTGCACACACAAGACACACAGGCACCCAGGTTGTCCTGCAAGACGTGACTCAGCAAGCAGGGAAATATTACTGCTGGACCAAATCGACCAAATACACCCGACTGACCTCCGTCAGCCAAAGGAAAGGGAAACAGAATCTTGGCTCCTCCACAATCCAACTGATGTCTGCATGGGGTTTTTGATGCAGTAGATTTTTTCTTTTTTTTTGCTATGTTCATTTTGTTGGAAAGATAGCTGCCAATATCTGTATCGATACAGCAAAAGGGTTAATCAGTAAAATGAAGAGTGGGACCAGTTTAAATAAGAGATTTGTTAGAACTTCTGTTTAAATCAAAGTGTCACCAAAAGATTAGGCTACATGTTTCTCTTTTGACATCAGTCCATCTACATACATAACGTTGTAAGTTGGTTGTAATGGGAACATTCAGCATGATTGTTTTGGTAATGTGATGTTAGCAACCTACAAAGCTTCTCTGGTGTAAAATTTAAATGGACTATGGGCTAGCTGATAGATCCCTGTTCCTGAATGTATATAATGTAATATCTGTAATTATTGCTCTTGAGAAAAACCCAGTTGTGCATGTTAGAATTAACAGTAAGTTATTTATTTCTCACAAGCATGCATAAACAGTAAATCTAAAGTTTTCTATTTAAAAAGACAATATGATCCCAGTGCAAAGTACAAGAAATAAACTTCCTACTTCACTGATTATTTGATTTTGCTATTTATCAAAGTATTGTGTCGTTTTAATGTCTTTGCAAATTAGTATAGCTTCACTATTTAGTTTTTCATGGAGATCTGGACATTATTAAGGATGCATTGTAAAGTTACAACCTTATCAAAAGTGTTGGTACTTCAAATAAACAGTACATTCTCTTGAAATTTTGTCTTCTTTTGTTGAATGACCTGAATAAAAGTAGTAACATATAAGAAGTTTAAATCAAAAATACAGCATTTTCCAACATGTCACGCCCTCCTCGGCTTAGTGACAGCCTGTTCCTTTCTGTGGGCCAGTGCAGTCAAAGCTCATTGGATAATCACCTGATCACGGACACCTGCGGCAGCGAGTGGCTCACCTGCAACTCATCACCTGCCTGTCAATATAAGCAGAGCCCAGACCACCACTCAACACCAGACTGTGTACGTCAGGGTTGCGGGGGGGCTGCAGTCTATCCCAGCCGACTTAGGGTGAAGGCAGGGGACACCCTGGACAGGTCACCAGTCTGTCACAGAGCTACACTTGGAGACAGACAACCAAGCACACTCACATTCACTACTGCCAATATGGAATCAATTAACCTCCACATGTTTTTGGACTGTGTGGGAGGAAGCCGGAGAACATGCAAACTCCACGCAGAAAGATCCCAGGTGTCCTCACCGGAATGCAAACCAGCGATCTTCTTGCTGTGAGGCAACGGTGCTAACCACTGAGTCATCTTGCAGCCCGAAATTCATTATATTTACATTAATAGAGCAATTAAAAGACTTACAGAAAACCCTCTTGCAGCCATACCTTAAACCCAACAGGTTTCCATTTTGAATTTACTGTCCCATCCATTCTGGTGCAGTTTTTGCCATTTACAGTTTGTTTTTGTTTTTTTTAACAAACTTTGGATAATTAATCTGAGCCACTGTGAATTTGATTGGTGTCATCCAAAGACATTTGTGATGCAAAGCTATCAGAATTGTAACTATTCACTTAACACTGTTTATCTGGTAGCATGGCAAATGTCAGTGTTTCATCATGAAACTATTGTTGTAACTCAAATATGTATTGTCCCCTTCTGTCCCAAACTTCACATGTTTAAAAAGAGCCCTGGACTGAACACATCTGCATGTCCACATTGAGTTATTATTATACATTATTATAACAGTTCTGCTGCCATTGATGTGTGAGTGTGTGAATGGGTGAATGAGAAAGAAATTGTAAAACACTTTGCAGAACCTCGCTAAGGTTAAAAGGTGCAATTGAAGTGTGGACCATTTATCATTAATTAACAATGGATACCAGGAATAAGCTGTTGGAGATGCAGGTGGATGCTTCACTAGTGACCTCGATCACGAGTTCCATCACAGGCTGTGAGGCTGCATAACAATGTGTCAGACACAATAGTGAGCAGCACAGATGTCCTGTCTTCCATCCTGTTCACCCTCTACATCTCAGACTTCAGATACTTCTCACAGTCCTACCATCTGCAGGAGTTTTCAGACAATTCTGCCATAGTGAGCTGTATCAGCAGGGAACAGGAGGCTGAGTACAGGAGTGTGATGGACAGCTTTGTGGAGTGGTGTGAAATCAACCACCGATGACTCAGCATCATGAAGACTAAAGAGCTGATTGTGGATTTCAGGAGCCAGAGAACCACTCCAAACCCAACCATCATCAAGGGAACAGAGGTGGACATTGTTGAGAATTACAGGTACCTCCATGTCCACATAGACCATGAGCTGAACTGGACTAAAAACACAGAGGATCTATATGAGAAAGTCAAAGCCATTAGTTTTTTTTTCTGAAACTGAGATCTTTCAGTTTCTGCAGAACCATGCTGCAGATGTTTTATCACTCGGTGGTAGCGAGTGTCATCTTCTTTGTTGTAGTGTGCTCGGGCAGCAGGGTGAAGGCAGTTGACGCTAGAAGACTCAACAAGCTCATCGAGAAAGCTGGTTCTGTCCTGGGAGTGGAACTGGAGTGTTTGGTGGTGGTGTCAGAGAGGGGGATGCTGAGGAAACTACTCAGTATTATGGACGCCTCTCACCACAATGTTGTCACATCAGAGCAGCGTCAGACTGTCAAGCCTACCTCTGACATGACTAGGGCTGAGAATATAGAACTGTTGGAATGCTACTACACCAGCAATCTCAGTGATAGTTGATCTATGCAGAGAATGTAAGACCTATGGATACTTTGACACCCAACATCTAAGCTAACTAAGAAAAGATTTGGAAAATGAAGGCCACATAAGTACCAATTGTGCACTCAGGGCTGTAACCTCCAAAATGGGAAAGTGACTTCAGCAGATCCATGAAACAACATCTGAGATCTCCATCCTCAGAATAGCTGAGATACTGCACAGAACCGTTAGAACCGTCAGAAGGCTCCCAGGAAGAGGCATGAAGGAGACATAAGACTGTGAAAGAGTAGGGGCCTTTTATATATGTACATAAGACACATCCTCCCACTCAGATGTGTGTATACATATGTACGTGAACATGGGCCAATCTAATTTTAGACCCACTCTTGTCTCGTTTAGGAGAAGCTTGTTGTTTAATGCAGATGCTTTATGGGTTCAAAAGAAGGGTAAGTGCTATTTTAAATAAGACCTACAGTGACTTTAAGCTCAATCTAAAACTATTTAACCGAGTTCTGAAGCAAGGTCTATTCATCAGCCTTAGCTTTGCCAGCAGTGACTTAGATTTTTAGCACTTATGCATGACCGATGCACATGCTGTATCAGGGTCACTACAGTACATGTAGTTCATGACTTGGTTTCATGACTGACTGACAGCAACAATATTTATCCACTACGCAACAAATGTCCCGTCCTCCTCTTTGCATAACCTGCAGGTGAACGAGAGTGGAATAATTTCATTTGTTCCGCTCTGTCAAGCTGCTGGGTAAAAGACAAACAGCCACCTCTTTGCCAAACAATCGATCATAAAAAAGTGATGCATATACACAGCAGCACACAAAGACGGCTCGTGGTTTGAGTGCAGTCAGGTAGAAGACGCAGAGTGAGACAGATGTCAGTTGCTTTCTGCTTGGTAAAACCCGCCGCTCATCAATGTTTGGCCTCAGTATTACCGGCAAACATTTCCCAGGTGATTCAGAGGCCAACATTCTCACTGCACTGTTCACTTAGCATACTGTTATTACAAGTAAATAACAAAATGAATCAATAATAAAAATAATGAGTAACATATGTTAAAAATATTTCTCAAAGCTTTGCAAAATCCCCACAAAAGGGCTTTATTGAATATAAATTGCTTTACAAACAGCAATGAATTTAAAAACAACATTGACAACAAGAAACTCTGAACTATACGATGCCTTTCTGGTAAGGTGGGAAACCTTTCTCTTTACAGCTGGGGTCAGATATTTGAGAGGACTGACTACCATGGGATAATGCTGTTGCTATATGTCGATGCCTCAATATTTTCTAAACCCAAAGGTTAAGGCTTTGTATCTAAGGCACTTTGCAGATATGGGATGTGTAATATTGCTGCTTCATCAGTCTGTTTAAATGACGATATTCTGTCATTAAAACATTGGTCCCTTTTGTGTTAACGCTCCTCACAGATTTATTCAGACATACCCACCACAGTGATGAGGACAGCCACGATACATAATATATATTTTTCATATGCGTCAGATTGGACAGTACGTCCACTGATGAATAATGCATATAGCTCATGTGTCTGAGATGAAGAAAAGCACACAGTGGCTTGCTGTTAGATTCTGAATGATCTTGTCAGGAGAATTTATAATCATCCATCCGATATCTATACACCGCTTAATCCTCATTAGGGGAGACTGGAGTCTATCCCAGCTGACTCAGGGCGAAGGCAGGAGACACCCTGGACAGGTCACCAGTCTATCACAGGGCCACACTTAAAGACAGACAACCAGCACACTCAGATTCACACCTACGGACAATTTAGAATCACCAGTTAACCTCAACATGTTTTTTGAACCTGGTGGGAAGAAGCTGGAGAACCCAGAGAGAACCCACGCTGCACAGGGAGAACATGCAAACTCCACACAGAAAGATCTCAGGTGTCCTCACCGGGACGCGAACCGGCAACCTTCATGCTGCGAGGCAACAATGACCCCAGAATTCATAATAAGTGAAATATTATTTGGTCTGAACATGAAAGATTGCTTCCACAACTTGTAAAGCAAAGTGAGCAGGTCGGTCATTTCGACA